CTAAAAGGCTTTCATCTAGGAGCAAGAATCCACCCATTCTTGTCAAACTCTTTTCATCGATAGAAGTGGATTTTATTTTCTCCCATTTGGAGCGCTCGACTCAATATCTCAGGGCAAATAAACTTTTTATTAGTCGAGACCAGACTCCACTGCAACGAAAAATTTCTCCCCCATTACCAAACGTAAGGCCACCCCCGAATTCTACTCAAATGTCTTTTTCCTCTAAAACAGTTTCTCCATCTGGTGTCGACCAAATCCCCCCACTATCTACAACGGCCCCAGTTCCATCTAGCTCTTCGACTGATCACATTATCACAGAGACGGTTAAAACTAGCCTCTTTAAAACTCCCCCACGGAGCAAGGATTGTTCAAATGCGGCTCCCAAATTTATAAGGGAGCTTGATCTTAGCAGTAAAGATGAGCTAGTCCTTGAAGCACAACCGGCTCCCAGCACTCAGAATAGTGATTTGGTTAATAAACTTACATCAGTTTATTCAGTTTATTTGGTAAGGATAATAGGCAAAGCCTTTGAAAACCCTATTGATTACATGTCAGCTCGTTAGAATAACTGTACACGAACAAAAAATGTTCACTATTAAAACAGTACTTGGTTCATTTGAGTAGCATTGTCTCAGAGAAAATATTTGTCTGGACCAGGGGTATTAATTCCGATTCGGACTGTCGAGGGAAAACAGGGGACACAAATAATCATCCAAGCGTTTCTTGAGCAGTTGCAGGGATGTAGCCTCCACGACTGACTGAGGGAGATTGTTCCATTTCTCCACTACCCTCTGCGTGAAAAATTCAGAACGGAGATTCAGCCTGGACATTGTTATCCATAACTTCATCGAGTGACCACGAAGATTGGGTGAAAGGTGCCACTGAAACATGTCCTCAAATTTAAGTCCATACTCAAGGCCATGTAGTATCTTGTAGACGAGGATAAGATCACCTCTTTGTTGCCTGTAACACAGAGGGAATAAATTTAGGCAATTCAGTCTGTCTGTGTAGGAATGGCTTTTTAGACCGTTTAGCAGCTTTGTTGCACGCCGTTGTACCCGTTCGAGACATTCTTGGTCCTTTACCAGCCATGGCCGCCATGCTTGTATGCGATATTTTAAGTGGGGCCGAACAACTGTGCCGTAAACTCTCCCAAAACGGTCTTGGTCAAAATTTACGAAAGCCCTTTTTATTGCATGCAGCACTCCCATGGCGTTTTTTGCAGCCTTGTGGCACTGCAGTGTTGGTTTCAGGTTTTTCTGTATCCAAACCCCGAGATCCTTCTGTGAAGATTCTACGGGGAGCCTTATATCTTTCAGGTGATAAGTCCTCAGACTCTCATTTGAATGAGAGTTCGTTGGACGCAGATGAAGGACGGCACACTTTTCACATTGAAATCGAGAAGCCATTTCTTCGACCACGCTTGCAGTCGGTGCAGATTATCTTGAAGGGATCTCTGATCATTCGGACCCTTAATGACTTGCCAGAGCTTAACGTCGTCTGCAAACATTATTTTGCCGCACTCGAGTTCCTGAAGGCTGTCGTTAACGCAAAGGATGAAGAGCAGTGGTCCCAGAACTGAGCCTTGCGGCACACCACTGGTCACATTCACCCATTCTGACATATCATCGCCGATACAGACACGTTGTTTCCGACCAACCAGAAACGCCCTAATCCAGTTCAGAAGATCTCCCCGGATGCCGATGTCGCTCAATTTGTGAAGAAGACGTTGGTGTGGGACAGTGTCAAAAGCTTTGCGGAAATCGATGTACACGACATCGACCTCAAAACCCTCTTCTAGAGCCCTGGTCCAGATTTCCAGACAAGCAAGCAGATTTGAGGGGCAGGAACGTCCTCTCCTGAAGCCATGTTGAAAATCCTGCAAGATGTTATTTTCTTCACAAAATTGCTGCATAGCGTTCTTTACTATAGCTTCCATCGTTTTGCAAGGGAGGCAAGTTAAGCTAATAGGTCGAAAGCTGTTTGCTGTCATCTTGCTACGTCCCTTATGCAATGGAACGAGGTTAGATGTCTTCCACTGTGAGGGCAGCCTTCCTGTTCTCATTGACAGCCCAAAGAGAGTCGAAGGAGGCTTTGACAGCTCCCTTGATAGCTCCTTAAGTATCAGCCCGGGAATTCCGTCAGGTCCAGGAGACTTATCAGGCTTTATTTGACTGAGGACTCGTCTGACTTCTTCCACGGAAAAGGCGACGGTTTTAATGACGGCAACATCTTGGCGCATTTGAAGCTCCCGGCTGTCTCGGTCCATTTCAAACTGCTGATTGTCTTCTAGGGACTCTTCCGTAAAAACCGATTGAAAAAACTGAGACAGTAATCGCACTTTCTGTGACCCTTCAACTAATGAGTTTCCAAGGCTATCCTTTAGACACGCAATTTCGTCCCTATGTTTCCTCCTACTGCGGATGTACCCATAAAACTTCTTGGGATATTTAATGGATTTTGCTATCAGTCGACGCTCGAAAGAACTTCTAGCAACCCGTATTTCTTTGCGGCATTTATTGCGCTGATCCTTATATTCGGCGAGTGACCTTGGATCTCGAAGTTGCAAATACTTTTTCCAGAGTCTCTGTTTCTTCTTCATGGTCTTTTTTGTCGTCGGATTGACCCACGGCGGTCGCATACATGGTCCTGTCATTTTTATTGGACAATGGGAATCAATCGGACGCTCTATAATCCCGCGAAAGTACTGCCAAAATTCGTCTGAATCTTCTGTGTTGACCAACCAGGTTTCCTCCAAAAGAGTGCGCCTCACTGCGTTAAAGTCACCCTTCCAAATATTTCTGCGCGTCTTGATTTTTGGTTGTTGGCTGGATAGGAGAGAGCACACGCAGGTAAAAGCAATATGATCGCTTAAACCGAGTGGAGGTTGTGGATTCACTTCCTTTATGAGTCCTTCTTCTTTACTGAAAACGAGATATAAACAGTTAGATCGTTGTCCTTCTCTCATTCTTGTTCCGAATTTTATGTGCTGAATGAGGTATTCATTCAGGGAGAGCTGTAGTAGCTTGTGGTCAAATGACGTGGACGGGGCGTTTGTTAGGGGAATGGTCCAGTCTATTCCTGGGGCGTTGAAGTCACCCAGAAGTAGTAAGTTCTCCTGCTTACATATCAACTCCAGTGCACTAAGTAATTCCATATCGGCGATTTCATTCGAGCTGGGAGGCCGATAGACAACACACAGGTTCAGTGTCGGTAATTGTTTGATGCATATCTTGCATGAAATTATTTCAAAATTTCGGGGCGCACCATCGGATATTTCTCGTTGACAGCACGCAATTTCATTTGACACATAAATAGCTGTGCCTCCACCTCTACGGTGAAATCTGTCACAACGGAACAGTTGGTAGCCTTCAATTCTGACTTCGCTACTACTAATTTCCTCAGTCAACCATGTCTCTGTTAGGACAATTATGTGTGGCTTCTGTTCAGAGACTAGTAATCTGAGTTCATCTAGCTTGTTGAGAAGACTCTGACAGTTAGTGTAATAGATTTCTACACAGCGGCCACTGGTTCGAGCAGCCTCAGGAGTTGGCACCTTTGCATCGATTAGGCTGTCAGAATGACGGCCTTCGACCAGAGAAATGTCCTTTGGACCTGAATTATTTGTCCATTCATGATTTGTAGGTGTGTTTGGCCGCTGTTTCTCTGCTTTTTCAGCTCCGTCATCAGCTCTCTCATTTTCATTCGCTCTTTTGGCTCGTAATCCGGCTGAAAAAAAACTTCAGGATGCTGACCCCGTAGAGATGATTTTCTCTGTAACAGAAGCTGGGCCTGTGCTTCAGTCTCCAATCCATCCCGTTCCCACGCCTGGCCACTCAGGTCTGACCTTGCAGTTAGGTCTAATAAGCTAGATGAGAGTTCAGGGAGGTCTTTACCTGTTCCTATCCTGAATTTTCAACTTAACGCCACAGTTGTGAAGCCCTCTTACACATCAGACTGCAAAATGCAAGTATATTGCATTGATGATAAATTTTCCAATCCCGTTGCTAGCCTGACATCCCACATAATAAAGCCCTTTCCTGATGTTAACTGTTTCCCGAAACCATTACGTCCGCCACCTAACATAAACTACCCCTCGTATTATGCTAACAATTCCCAAAATCCTATTTTCTTGTCTCCTATTTTTCTAACCCAACAAAATAGTTTTCCTCTTCCTGGGTCCTCCTCAAATGTTTTTCCACCTAATGCTGCATCTCTAACTAGTAATTACCACATAAATTTTAGACCGCAGCAACTTTGTCCTCCACCAATTGCTCCGTTCCAACAGCTTAATTTTCCACCTGCGGCTCTTCCTTTTTTATAAGTAGCAATGAGCGGAACCTACATATTAGGAATACGCTCAGTATTGTCTCTCTCAACGCAAGATCTGTCGTGCAAAAGATGGCACACCTAAGAAGTGTAGCTGTTCAGTTTGACACAGACGTATTGTGCATTACTGAATCTTGGGCACACTCTCTCATTTCAGACTCGGCACTTAACATAGATAGCCTCAGTTTATACCGTCAGGACCGTGCCGACAGACGCGGCGGTGGATGCCTTCTTTACATAAAAGCATCACTTGCACAATCGCCTTATAACTTGAACACTTCCTCCTTCTCTGGAAATTTATGTTTTGCTTCGGTAATCCTTCCGAAAAACAGGAAAGCCTTAGTCGGATGTGTATATAATCCTCCTTGTTCCTCCGGAAATGAAAGCCAACTTTGTGAACTCTTTGAAAAAATTGCAGAAACTTCTTTCGATGTCAAGATAATCGTAGGCGATTTTAATTTGCCAGAAATTGACTGGCACACACATACTTCTCCTCCTAAATTCCAGAAGCTGCTTGACACAGTTTACTTTTCAAACCTGACTCAATTAGTTCACTCTTCGACCAGAAAAGATTTTAATTTTTAATTTTTACTAATGGCACCTTCCCTTTATCTATGAATTTTTATCATGACCTCTTTGCAAGTGATCATGCATTAATCCATTGTCGCCTTCCAGTTGCCATTTCGGCAAAGCCAACAGTTCAACGTAGTATTTTTGACTTTGCTAATGTTAATAAGGATTTAGTAAATAACTTTACATGCACTCTTGATTGGCACAATATTTTTTCAAATATTGATGTAAATTTTTTCAACAATTTATTACAATGCGTAACAGAAGGTCTTCTTGACCTTATTCCTCGGAAGATGTTCAAACCGAGAGCTGATTCCACCGCTATCCCACATTTTCTTAAAAACAGACTTTTAAAGTTACGGAAGCAGTTTAAAGATCCTTCTGTGAGTTCATTATCAGTTCATCTAAGAATCGTTGAAATATTTGAACTAGCTTCGAAAATTGAAACTGATCCGATCCCTTTAATTCCTTCGTTGTCTGATGCTTCTCTTAGCTTCATTAATTTTTCTCCTGAATGTATTCAAAAACTGATAAGCCATCTTCCTAACTCTCACTCAGTAGGTACGGACAATATCCCAAACTCTTTGATAAAACAGCTAGGAGATTTTCCTCCTCTGCTTAGCAAAATCTTTTCAGTATTTCTCGTAAATGGCTTCTTCCCTGACTATTGGAAAACTTCTATTATTATTCCAGTATTTAAGTCTGGCTGTC